GAGCATTTTCCAAACAATTCTTGAACTCTGGCAGGCTCAGTGCTGTGACCACTTTCCTAGGGAGCCTGTTCCAGTGCCTGGCCACCTTCTGGAGGGGTTGGGCAATTCTCAGTTCTTCTCAATTTGGGGCGTACTGTCTTCACCCGTGCTTTTTAATTGGATAATGGCGTTAACAAATTTTTTAATACTTTGAATCTGCAACTGCTGAAAATAGTGAGAAATTTAGATGAAACCTCTTGCTGAATAGAGCTTGCAGAATGTTATACAAAATCTTGATTTACTCATTAATTTGCTGAAACATGTTTGGAATGTCTAACTGCTGGGGCATCTCTGCTCACAGTTAAGCTAATACAACCTTTTTTATATGTTATAGAGAGTCTATACTGTGCTTCTAAGCTATTTATTTTGACTCTTAAGACATTATGTACATTTGTAACCTTACATAATTATATGTAATAATTGAAATTTAATTATGTAACTATTTTAGATCTGGCTGTGTTTTGTTCAGATAACTTTTTAACTACAATAATATCAGGTGAATCACTAAGAGAGCATTGCAACCATTTATAATAAACATTATCTCTTATATTTCCATATGCCTAGGTGACTCACAGTATTCCTGCCTGCATTGGTAGCATGACAATTAATAGCAAACAACTGGACAATGAGAGTCCTGTCTCCATCTTTGCTGTGAATAAATGCTATGTAACAGCGCAGGATGGTACTTTCTTTGATGGAAGTGGCTTTGCTGCTCTTGGTAAGTGTCACTAAATGAAAATTGTACCTTACTGAATTAATGTTAATGAAAATGTATGCTTTTTAGGTCTTGCTGGCACTGTGTGCAGTCAATTGACTCTTCACACAGCAAGTGCATGCCCTGCATGTGTATTTCTAACCAAGTCTTGTACATCCAAAAGTGGTCATTTCTGCAAAGGGCTGTCTTCCCCAAATGAAAGAAAGCACTGGGAAAGAAATGTACTACCTCTTTCTTCAGCTAAGAATATCCATGTTCCTGATGTTTAGGTCTGTAAAAGGGAATGGAGACAAAAGACTTGTGAAGTAACATAAAGGATTACATTTGTGCTCTTTGCTATTTCTTACTAAATGTGAATTAATAAAAAACTCCACTTACTTGGTAATTTATTTTTTCCAGTATAAAATATGAATTATGACTTTGGAAAATTTACTTTCCAGAGGTTCTGCAAGGTCATATTCCAGCAGAATAATTAACAAGCCTTTTAGAACTTCTAATGCCGATCTATGTATTTTAATTTGTACTGTGGGTTTATAAGTCTTCTGCTAGAAACCTCTGCCTTCTTTTCAGTCAGGGAAGGTTACAAAGTGCGGTCTGATGTGAACATCACACTGGAGTTCCGTACGACAGCAGTGCATGGGGTTCTTCTTGGGGTCAGCAGTGCTAAGGTTGATGCCATTGGACTGGAGATTGTACATGGCAAGGTAGGCTGCCCTGTGCTGGCACACTCATTTCACAAGGGTTGCTTGAAACTGGGAAGCTAGAATTCTTGGATTGCACTAGATACACACCAGCGAAATGTGATGGAGGCACAAATCCCCACAAAACTAGTATGGGACATTTTCAGTCTCCAGGTTTCTCATTGCCATCATATGATAAAATGTGCTATTAGCAACAACAAAGTCACTGGAACTTTTTGGACTTTTAATTAGTGTAATTTATATCAGTGTGCAGCCACTCTGACCTCCTGTACTACGTACCTTGTATGTTAGACCAAATATATATCTTTTTTGTAGCTTAATACTTTTTCTGCCATAAAGCTGTACTTGTCCTTGAAAAACATTATTGCATGTACTAAGCACACTGTTTTGTAATCACTTCTTCAATATTCATGAGGAATTAACTCATTCTCTACTTCTACTGGCCATTATGCTCCACAAACCTTTTAACAATCAATACACGGTTCTCTGGTCATGTCTTGCATAAAAAATGTATACTTGATTGCTCTTAAGTATTTTGTTTTCTCAGAAATAGCTCATTTTTTATTCAAAGCTTCCTAGCTAGAGACAGTGTTAAATACCACTGTTTCTATGGGACATACTTTCTCAGTTAATATTTGCATATTAATCCTCACCAGAGAGTTGAGGAAATGTCTACTGCTTTGAAAAATAAATCCCTGAAAACAATCAATACATGTATTGATAATGACAAGCGCTTTCAGTTCACTCTTCTTTCTCTTCAGTTAGATACAGTGAATCATCTTTCAGGTCTGAAGTCTCAGGTTCTGTGAAAAATGTCTGGATTTGTATTTGTAAGAAACATTGAAAGCCCTAGTGAAGTATACTGAGCTAACCCAACAGATGATTGCATAGATAGATCTAAGTCTTTTAGATTTTAAAGACACTTCAAAAAGGTTACTCTCTATCCATCAAAATGAACATTTACTTAGCATATTGCCGAACATTTAAAATGGAAATCTCTGTACCAGCATGACTGTGCATTTATCTAGGCAAATTAGTTTATGTTTTCTTACTTTATATCTATTGGCATCTGGCTTTTTTCGCAGGTTTTATTCCATGTCAACAATGGAGCTGGCAGAATAACAGCTACATATGAACCAAGAGGCACAAATAGTTTGTGTGATGGGAAATGGCACAAGCTTCAAGCAAACAAAAGCAAACATCGCATTTCACTGATCATTGATGGGCATTTGGTTCAAACTGATAATCCCTACATCCAGTCTACATCTGCAGATACGAACAATCCCATTTACGTTGGAGGCTATCCTGGTGGGTACAATAATATTTCCCTTCCCTTCTGTCCCTCTTGCTCTCACTCTCACAAGAGTGACTCTTAACACGTGTGCCCTCCACCCCCACCCCTTTTGGCTCGCCAGTGGAGTCTGAGGCAGTGTACAGCTCAGCTGTTGTTTCATGTTCTGCCAGTTTCGATTTTAACTTAAAAAACACCTATGCAGAATGGCTTTCTCCTCTGTTTTCCCCTCTCATTTCCCACTGTCCCCTGGGACATACTATTTCTGCAAACTCTGCGCAAGTTATCCTAGTGCGCAGCTTATGCTTGAAGGCAGCAGTGACTGTTCATGTTGAGATGTCCTAGATCATCCAAATGTGAACAGAACTTGGTGCTCCTCAGGTGTTGGTTTTATCTCTCATTTCAGAGGGAGGAGAAGCAGTTTAATAACCTGGGTCTTTGTACTGTTTTTGTTCCCTGGAAATAGATTCTATGTATTTCATGTTTATTTTTCAGCTGATGTGAAGCAAAACTGCCTCACGAGCAAGAACTCATTCCGTGGCTGTTTGAGGAACCTTGTTTTGACCAAGAACCAAAATGCAGAATTCTTTGACTTTAGCAGAGCTTTTGACCTCCGTGGAGTCTTTCCTCATTCCTGCCCTGGGGTTGAGCACTGAACTGTAGCAAAGCCCGTCTGGACTGAGAGAGGGTTTTTTTTGTTGATCTGTTATTTTGCATTCTCATTTTGTAATGAAAAGAATCGGTGAGAGCCTGCATCTCTTTGATTTTTCTGGTTGTTTTCCAGCTCAGGTCATTTTTTTTTTAAATCAGTTCTATGTCTACATTTTAACTAAGTGGTTTTAAACAACAAATACCTCTACTACAATGTAATGGCATTAATTGCGTATTTTTCTTTTGGGAATTTTTATTAATCAGTGTTTACAGTATGTTTTCTTTTGATTACTTGACAGTATTTCATTTTATTGTGTGTTGGTTGTTTTGTAAAAAGGTAATTATTGTGGACCACCAAATAAAACTACAATAAACTGTGCATTATTTCATGTAGTTCAGTTGTCCATACATTTCAGTCAGGAGAAAAAGAACCGACAGACTAAGAAGTGACAAATGTGCCCACAACAGGGAGGCTGGAACCAGATGATCTTTAAGGTCCCTTCCAACCCAGGCCATTCTGTGATTCTGATGCAATGAAGTGTAAGTGCATATAGTCCAGCAGAGGGAGCAGGAGACTGACTAAAGGCATAATTTTGAATGTCTCAGATTCAGAGTCTAATGAATAGAATTTTCTACTTTATATGGTAGCTCCAGTTTCTTTTCCTTCTGCCTTAAAATCCATTGCTTCTGATCCTCATTATAGATACATTACAGATATATCTAGGAGGATTTATGTTGCTCTTTATACTTTCATGTAATCAGCTTCAGGACAAGCAGCAACTCCTCAGCACAGAGACAAGTATGAAATGTGTTGGTGAAGAAACAATATGGGTCTGACTTGGGAAATACCAGGCATTTTGGCAACTAGAACTAATGCGCATCATACTTTGGAAAACAGTATTTCCTACAGGAGACAGGGAGGCACTTTCGGTGCTCTGCAATTCCTAATTCACAGGCCAGTCAGCCTTTGCTGTTGTTCTGCCTCTTCCTTTTCTTACTGTGCTTGCCTCTGTTTCTAAAATGAGTCTTCCAGTAGTTGCTTTTGATCCAGGTTTGGGAGACATGTACTCGATCTGACTCAAGTAAGGACATTCATTCATCAACTGGACAGATCACTGACCACTGATAAACATGTCTCATACTTTATTATACATCTATAATAAACACAGTTCTTTGCAAGTCACTTCCATCTCCTTTTTTTTTTCCTTCTTTGAATTAGCAGTATTTTTGCTTGCTCCTTACAATTTTGTTTGGCTTTTCCTGTGCCCTTTTGCAATTTTTCTGGAATTAGTTTTGCTCTATGTATTTCATACTAGTTTAAAAAAATACTGGCTGAAATGAAACCCCAAAGTGGTTTGCCATTGCTTTCAGTGAGGCAGGATTCCAAGCAGTGTCATTTTGAACCCTGCATCAAGGCAGTCCAAGAGAAGAGCTCCTGGAGCAAAGAACTCCTCCACTTAAGCAAGGGTGGCAGAACACAGTCCTTTGTATAGCTAGCTGTACAGGTGCTGTAACAACATAGTTGCTTTGAAGACAGATTCACCACTGCTTTTTGTAATTTCTGTCCTCTGCTTCTATCCAAAAAAACACGTTTAGATTTAAAGAGCTTTCTTTGTTGGTATGGTTTTATTTTTGACATGGGTACAATACAGTGGACACACTCTGCTGTACAAATACACTTACATATTGGCGTACTTCAACAAAACACAGAACATAATGAGGATTGCAAGGGAAACATACACACAAACACTTTGCTTTGATTAGTGGCATTATTGTATTATTTTCCAGAGAAGACACACATTAATAGAAAGCCATTGAAAAGTAAAAATGAAACACAGTGTGTTTGTATCTGTTGTCTATTTAAACCCAAGATCAGATCTCATAATGTTCACATTACAAGCAGTAATTTAGGCAACATAGTTTGGATAAAATTTCATCCATATCCTGAAATATGTATTTTAGTATATATTTTTTTGTAATTTCAAATCTTGCCCCACAGAATAAAGACATTTTGTCAATGATAACACTAGTGGAGAAGTGAAATTGAGAATAGAAAGTTCTTGAGTAGTAAACCTCTAAGCCAAAATATTTTTCCTGGAAAATGCAGAGTGAGGTAGTTAATATTATACATGGACACAGACACATCTGCACGCACGCACACATTCGAATGACATTAGCTGCATAAACTGGTTAGAGTATTCCAGTCTGTTTCCAACACCTACTTTTTACAATACTCTCTCAAAGTTTACAATAGTAAACTCTCTCAAAGTCTCAATTTTACAATACTTTGTTGATACGCAAAATGCTTGTCTTTGTAGAACCATGGAGTACATAAATAAATGCTCAAAACATCTTTGGAATTTGAATTAATTTCTCCCTGCTTGCTACCACTTTCTTATTAATAGCTTTCCACACATGTTGCTTTCTGTTGGGTGACAATCCAATTGTAACTTGGTTTTGACTTCAGCTGCTGTGAGGAGGAACAAAATTTCTCATGCCTCCACCAGCATCTTGAAATATATGGCCTAAAGTTGAGACCTCATATTTCAAAATGTCATTGAGACTGTTCCATATGCATATGGAACAATGCAGCGCATGAAATCAAGTTAGTGTACCACAACAATACAAACCAACTTAATGTGGAACAGTATTAAGCACAGTAGACATGGGTCATTAGGTCCATTTGTATCAAAAAAGAATTTTGACATTCCGTTTCAGAGACGGGAGGTGTTTGGCCACGCTGCAGTAGTCTGGGCACTGCACATAGAATCTAGTTCATCTGATAATATGCACGTCTTATAAAGTTACAGGCAGTTTTAGCATAAGACAAGTGCTCACAGGATGGATTTTATTACATCGTATATATAACTTTATAAGTTGTGAAGTGGTATCAGTCTTTCAAAAACCCATTGTATTCTGTATGGAATGCAGGGAGATCTATTTCAGAAATAACATTGATGAGATCCAGAACATGCTGAGCAAATTACTGCATGAACACAGGGCTTTCTGTGATTTCCCTTGCATGGCCATTGAGAACCCAGAGTGAAGTTAGTGGGCAAGATGGAGGAGGTCAGTGTATTTGTCTGAAAGTACTGTAGAAAGTTAGCTCATTTGCTATGACATTTCAAATGCTTTTGTTAATGTTTGGGCTTTCTGTATAGTCATAGAACCTCTTTTAATTGGCTATAAATACAGTGATGCTTAGCATTTCTATGGTGCTCTTAGTATTCAAAGCACTTTCCACGTAAAACACCTTTGCCAAGTTTGTCCTTCCTAGATGGATGTTTATAACTCCTCATTGTTCAAGGAATTGTTTGACTGCATCTGAGAGTAGAATTTAACTAATTATCATGTTGCCTTTATATAGAAAGTATTCGTCCTGCTTTACAGATGAAAAAAAAGGGCAGCATAATTAGGAAGAGTTGTCCATTGCCACAGAGGGAACTAAAGGGTATTGAGAGTGAAACACATGACAAAACATTTATCCTTAGTTCTATAAACAAACCACAGATCTACTATCTCTTGTATACTTATAAGAAGTAGTTGTCAAAATAAGGAGTGTATTTTATAATACAACTGTCCTGGTCTTTTCCTGGCTGCAGCTATGTCTCCATTAGTGTTAAAAAGAAAAAGAAGGGGAAAAAAAAAAGCCAAAAAACCCAATCAAAACCAAACAAAAATAATAATAATAATAAAAAACCCCACACAAAATCACAAAACAAAACAAACAAACAAAAAAAAAACAACAGAAAAAGAAACAAAAGCCCAAACAAAATGTCAGGAAGTTTAAAATGTCACTGTTTTAAAGAAAAGGATTATGTTGCTAAATTTTTATCATTTTTTATCCAGAAGGTAAGAAAGAAGACAAGATCTGCCCTCTGTAGACATTATTGTTGCTGGTAAAGTTATTAATTCAATGTTGATTTCTTTCACTGATCACTAACAAAGAAAGTTAACTACTGAACAACACAATTAACTTAGCACATTCTAGAAGCCCTGCTTCTGGTTCAGATCCTCATTGCACAGCTTCAGCAGAGAATCACAAATCAACAGACTTCCTTTGCAGGACACCATCCTTCGTGTTCACCTGGAGGACTTGGTTCAGAGCGCTTTTATATTGCTACATGATAAACAGCTTCTGCCTCATCCGTGCATCCAGGTCAGGAACAAAACTCACTGCTCAGGCTGTGGGTGGATTCACTGTGCAGTATCATCATCTTAACGATGGAGACATCGCAGTGCAGTTGAAGGTATTGAAAAATGGGTATATCCCATTTTTTTGCATACGACAAAGATGACAAAAAGACTTGCTCTTTTCCAGAGATTTGTGATTTCCCTACTCAACAAACATGCTTTAGTTCAGTAAAGTATAGCCCCAAAGGAGATGACTAGGTGAAGAACAGTGCTTGCTCTTGTGACTAGCTACAAACTAGACACGCTGTCTTACATTTCCAATGCAGTTGCAGCACGTTGTTCTCTTGTCAGCCCGTGTTTTCTTAGACTGCATGTCATCTGTAAAAAGAGCTGCAACTTTCTCTGTGTTTGTAAAACCCCCAGCATGATTGGGCCTAGTTTGGCTATGGCTTTAAAGACCTAATGTGTAAATTATTAAATCCCACTGCTCATTGGAAACTCTTTTTCTTCTCCATGTTGTATTATACAAGACCTGAACAAAGATCTCTCTTGTCAATACAGCTGAATAGTATAAAAATTGCTTACATATTAAAGCTAAAATAAACAAAATAAAAATAATTAGGTTACAAATAAGAAACTATAATGTTTGACAAAAACAAGTGGTGACTGTAAGTGGCACCAGTAACACATATCTTATAGTATGGCATTACACAGACTTAATTCTGGGAGTATCAAGTAAAAGGCAGAGCCAGGGGCATATGCCCCTTCTTACCTAGCAGTTGTCTCCTGAAATTTGTGTGTGTGACAGAGGAAGGAAGGAGAGAATGGTTTGTGGCATTACAGTTGCACAAAGCTACATGATCCAGACAGACCATTTTGGAAGACTGGTAGTGATATGTAATACAGTGGTACACACTGGGCAGTATAGCTGTCTGTACAGTAGTCCTTCCTTCTACCTCCTGCTCCCAGTGTCAGGTACTCCTGAGTGACTGAGAGACAATTATTGCAGTTATGCACACTGTACAGGTTTACTTTCAGCAGAAAGATTTTGGTTTGTCACAAGGCTGTGTCTTGGCACTGCTGCATGTTGAGCTTCTGTCTTCCACATCTGACAGGTACCTTCTCTTCTTGAACGTCTCTGTGGTGCTTCTGTGTTACACTGTGGTAGGTAGTGTTTCATTCATCCTCTGATGTCACTGGATTATTTTGAAAAATCTGTGTTCTAACACCAGGTCAGGAAATGAACAACTCGCATGTGACAGGTTGTTTTCTGCACACCGTACCTTGGTCTGTCCTCCTCAATTCCTGGGCCAACTGGCACAAGTGTAATCCATATGAAAGCATAACTGATGTGATATTTTTCTGATGGTCAGAATCTGGAATACCAAAAGTAGTATGTGCTGACCATCAGTTGGACAGTACAGTAGGAAGGAATGATGTCCTGTAGCTACTGTTCTGTCTCTGCCAAGAGCTTCTTAAAATGACAGGCATCACTCTTGTCCATTTGGCTTTTGTCCAGTACACTGCAGCCTTCTACTTCAGCTCGCTTTTGGTTTTATCACCCATTCTGCCTGAGGATTTGCACGGTAGACATCTAACATATACGCATCTGGATCCAAGCAGTGCTGACCTGAAACAGAAATTGACGGCCATGAATCACGGAATGTTACGAGCACATTGGGACAGAGTTTCATTTAAATGTCTTTGAATGTTTCTCTGACTTGCACATAGTAAGCCTGGTTTCGTGTGTCCAGTTAATATCTTGCCAGGACACACAGAGGGCCTGTGGTAAATTTGCCAGTAATTTTACTCCGGGGAGCCATGAATGCACTCACTTCCAGGCAAGATGACATGCATTACATGGCGTTATGGACAAGACATTTAGTTAAATGGTGAACAAATATGTTTTTTTAAGAAGTGTTAACAACACTCTTACAGTAAAAGTGCTACATTATGAAGGTTTTTTTTTCTTTGAATTTACTGGGCTGGAATTACAACTGTCTGACTTTGTTGATTTTTTTAAGTGCTGAAAAGATAGCTCTGCAAACAGCGTGTTCCCATCCAGATAGGATCTAGTAAAGAAATACAGGGACTATATCAAGGTTTTAGGTAGTTGCCATTTGGCTGGTTAAAATAAAAAAATAAATACAAAAAGTCCTCCTAAGGCTGTTTCAGGGTTTCATTAGGTGGTGATTGGGAAGTCCCTTCTGCCTTTGCCAGAATGAGGCATTTGGTGCCTCTTAATTGAGTAATAAGGCAATAAATTCTAGAGTTAAGTTGATTTGTTGGACTATATTACATTTATGTGGGGTGATGAAGTAATTTAACTGATGAGGTTACATTGCTGTGAGACAAAGGATTATGGTAAAATTTTTGGACAGTTACTTATAAGGTCACTGGGGTCCTAATGATTTTATTCAAGTGAAAGCAATATAAATGAATTAATGCCTAATCAGTGGACTAAGGTACCCTGAAGTATCTAGAATATAAAAATAATTTTAAATGAAGATGCAAATTAAAACATCCTAATTTTTTGAAAGAGCATGGTGGGAATATTTGGGATTGTTTCACAAGGCCTTTAAGTTCTTCTCTTTTAGCATCAGTTGGTCATCCTGTTAAGCCAGGCAAAAAGTCACTAATCCAGTTTAGCTTTGTGTGTCGCCAGTAACAAAGACTGCTTCTTGTTTGCTGCTGAAGTGTGATGTTTTGTAATAACTTTACAAAAACTCTTCTGGGGTGAATCAAGAAGAAATAAGGAATAATCTAATCAGACAGTTGACAACAGACTTGAACAGAGCATTCAGAATTTTGGTAAGAATAGAGAAAGAAGAGAGCCAGGATTGTGCAATATCAAATTTTGACCTTCAGGCCAGAAACTTGTGGGGCAAGCCACTGTTGTTGTTATTACAAGAAGTGTCACTGCATGAAACACAGAAGAAGACAAAAGCCCTACTGCAAATAATTTGCAATCTAAATAAAGCATAAGTATAGAACATCCATAGGTACGGGGAGGTGAATTCTGAATTCTGTGTTTTTTATTAGAAGGAGGTTAACACTTGGGTACACTGAGGAAGAAATAGGTCTTGGGAAAAGGCTTGACAACAAGATGGAATGTGCTCGCAAAAGGAAGACTAAGGATCTCTTAACCATGGAGAAATGCTGAGTTATGAGAGAGGTAAGCAAAAGGTCAGATAATTTTGGCAAGACTGTAAGGGGTGCTCCTGTGGGGTGCCCCTCCAGTCACACTGGAGTTGGAGTAAATCATGGCATTTGTTTTAACAGCTTTTGGGTCAGGCTCCTTTTCTCTAAATGCACTGGAGAGTAGGAGCGACCCAGCTGTGTCAGAACTGTGCTGCCCCGAGGTGTTTTAGGAGGTTAAGGACATTCAGAATTAAATTTTTGAAAAATGAGACCTACCTATATTTCCTCCAATTTCATGTAAACTTTGGATCTGGCCTCTCATGTTCTGTGATGATCCACGGCTAGGATGGAAAAACAAACTTTCAGTGTGTATTTCTGTTATAACCACTACCTTATCACGCACCATCTATGGTAAGCAGAAGTGTGATATCTTTTCCCCTGTGAACTGCCTTATCGAAAGCAGGAGCTTCTACCAACTGGAACCACTGCAGAATACTGTATTTGCTACAGAGGTAGTTTACTGCATCACAGTTAACTAAACCTTCTATATTATTTATTTGATGTTATATTTATTCAAAGAACAAAATTATGTGGCAACATGGGAAGACTACAGAAAAGACTTTCAGATACAATTTACGATTTCCCGTAATCGTTAATAGTTATTACCTTACAGAAATAAAAGCATTAAAGACTTATGGACAGATGTAAGACAATTCTTTTGGGTTCTCTATGCAGCAAGTCTATAAAATATATGTTTAATGTACATTTTTAGTGGTGTAAAAGAGGACAGATTGATTCTATATAGGAACTAATTATTAAGTAAAATTAAAAAAATTAAATCAGATTAAAATTTATCTGTTCAACATAACCATAAATTAGCAATTTTAAATTAGAAAAAGAGTTCTTGTAACACAATGAATCTCTGAAAAGGGAACAATCCATTTATAGTTCTGACATTGTCGTTCAGGAAAAACAGAATGTTCTGCTTTACCCACCTGTTTTCACAGTGGAATCGAGCCAGGATGTCTTTGGCTTTTGTTTGGCTGTTGAGTTGAATTGCCATAGAGACTTTTGAATGCAGTGGAGCATAAACTCTTATCACCCCCTCGGGTATGTCAGACTGCAGGTATGGGGGAAAAGTGACAGCTCCCTAAAATCAATATTCAATAGCATAAGTCTAAGGCAAATATTACTCTAGCTCCATTTCAGAAGCAGTTCTGCAACTCTTTTGAGGTTGCTTGCAAAAATCAGTGTCCTGCACTCACTTGATTATTCAAAAAACATTATTTACAGTCATACAAATGCAAATTTGTAGACACAGTATAATGAGATGCAACACAAAGGCCCAGATTCCTTGGTAAGTATCACATAAATGCATACAGAGTAAAACCTTTGAATTTTAAGCTATTTCTGTTAGCATTGTTCAGTGAGCCAACATCTTATGTAAAAACATATAAAAATTATTAGGAATATCTGTTCTTCCTTCTAAAGATGAAATTCTCCTGAGGCATAAAAATCCAGTTCTCTGTTTCCGCTTTCTGTAGCTTCAACTAGACTGAAGTGTGTGTACAGTAAAATATCAAAGTACCATATGGTTTCTGTTAATTTGAAATTTGACCTTGTGTAGGGTTCAAACTATCATCTATGATGCTTATGCTTTCTTCCATGATTAATGGTGGATAAATCAATTAGCAAGGTTTGCATTCCAGTTCTAATCCAGTTAATACCATGCTGAGCAGAACACAATAGTCTCTCCAGTCTCTATCTCTGTGTAATTTAGAACATCTGAGACCTGGGGATTGTATTAAGTGCTCTCAAAATTCAACTCAGTTATCCAAACAGAGTTTGCCTCCAATTTACCCTTCATATTTCAGCTACCTGCCACAGCTACCCTTGTTTTTATTAGATGTAAAGCCAATTACTACGATCAATGGACTTGTCTTCCTGAAGGTGCAATGACCACAGTAATTGACTCTCCTCGGAGAGAGAGCCTTTCTGTGTTTGTTCCAGGCTGAATACAACTTTGCAACACAAAGTAGTCTACATGACCAATTGAAACAAACTTCTCTGTCTCCATTTGCATCACCAGTATGTCTCCTACCCACAAATATATATTGGTCAATGCTGGCAAATAAATTCTCCAGAAAGCTGAATTAGCATGGACTCACAATTCATACATTACATTTAGTTTTCTACTTTTTTTCCCATACATTCCCTTCCGCATTTTCTCTGTTGTCTGCACTAGGCTGCTCATTCTCTATTTTTTATAATCTCTTAATATCACTCCTTCCTCATTTGTCTTTTCTTTTTCTTCAAGACTGTTTTTAAGTAACTATAGAGTCCTTAACCATTTCCTTAATTACTTCTCTTACAATTCACCAATTTTCATTCTTTTAAACATCCATGGAGGACTCTAAAGACTTCCTCTGCAGGTTATTAATGGTAGTTACTACATGAAAATACTATATATAAGCTGCTATAGTGACTGTATATGTTGTGCATGTAGACACAACATTCTTTATTGCCCAAATTATATGTTGCACCTAATATGTAATTATTTTAGTTGACTATCAAAGCAGCATACCTCAAGCAACCTCCTAATCTCCATATCTAGGCAATGGAGAAAAGTTGGTGGCTTTAAGATCTTCAAAGAAAGATCTATCAGATCCTTCTGATTTCCTATCAGATTTTCCTAAGTTGGAACTGCACCTGGAACCCTGGAAAGCCTCAAAAGTACCGACCTCTCCCCTTTGACTATACAGGGAATAACAACACAAACTACTTCACTGGGCGCTTAACCTTTAGACCCAATTTAGGTCCCTATGGCAGGCAAACTATCTTTTTATCACACCTCTGGTCTTTCAGGTCTCTCCCGTTCCATGGTCTTTCTCCTTAGAAGTTTTCTCACTCCTTTGTCAAACATCAGCTGTCTCTTGCTGTTGCTCATCGCTGCCTCATTCATTTTTCTCACTTGGGAAATCAGGAAAGATGGGACCTAAAGGGAGGAAACCAGAATATAAGAATATATAGTCATTTCCCCCCCAAGATTGCTGTTGGATCTTTAGAAAGGCGTCAAATTTTAGGCAGCAGAGACCCTATTTATTCCTAGAAGATACATGCAAATCGTAGTTGTCTCTAGCAGCCTACCGTTATTCCTTCAGTGACACTCTAGATCTTCTTTCATGCCATATGAAACCCTTAGGGATGTTTAAAGTTGCAGGAACTTCATTAGGAAGTAGTCTTTGCAATCCTCCTCATACCCTCATTTTTGAGGAAACAAACTGAGACTGTCAAAACCTTCATGCCAGCCTTCAGCAGCCCAAAAAGTAGTACACACTTTTGGTCTCATATTGCCATGGGCTAGACTTTAAACAGACATTTAATCTCATTCAGATTTACACATATCACCTAGACATCTAGATTAAATCACTCTCTTATGCATTATTCTACATAAACAATGGTGTGGGACAGGGCAATTCATGCTAAAATAGATGACTTAGGTAAGTGAGGTAACTCTCAATCCACAGATATCTGTCACCCTATCTCATTCTGGACGTAGAAGACTTCAGCCAGTTTTCGAAGAATAGCCAACTGTTTCTTCTTGGAAGGTCAGTTTACCCTGATTTCTACAGAGCTCTTGCATACAGCAAAATACTGGCCTGTATTGGAGCCCTAGAGAGGGAACCAACATTACTCACTGTCCACAGGATGTCCTGGTACCGAATTAAAAGCCGCACGATGTGTGCTGTGGTGGCAGCTGCTTGCATTTCTTGTTGGTTTGCACGTTTCCCTTTGTAGATGAAGAGGTTTGGTGCAACAATCATAGAAACATTCCACAAATTCATCTTGTTTTTCCCTTCATTAGCAACCACCTTCTTCAGGAACTGAAGAAAGGCCTGGAAAAAAACCCCACTTGTTGAGTCTCATGAAATAATTTGCTTCTGAAATGCAACACTTTCAATTGCACAGCATGTCTGGCTCAAAAGCTGCTATAATTGCACTTCAAGGTGAAATTTAGGGTTTTTGGGTTTTAATTTGGATTATTCTCCTTGGTACAACCACCTGAGTCAATCAAAGAGGAACAGTTAATGCTATCTAAATACACATTAATAAATTATCTATCACTTAGAGCATAATCCCAAATTTGCAGGTTAAGTACAGTGTCTACACTAAGGCACTGAATCCTATAGTGGAGGAAAGATGTACAGGTATTGCAAGGGAATAGTTACTTTCTTCATAGATTTCCAAGCGTCCATTTTGGTGTGTCTGACCAATGCTTTTTATATCACCATCACTAGGGTGATCAGTCTTTTCTTCAAATGTGCACCAATCCCAAATGTGATTCGAAAAATTTCTGCCAGCTACCCCCAAACTTTTATTTTGGGATAATGAAAACAAGAAGAGTTCTGTTGTTGTTCACTGATGTTACTTCTGCACATGCATGGCAGAGTCAAAGCAAACTCATTTCCCTTTTGGGTAGTTTATTCAGAATTTTGCTTGAGTGACTGAATAGGATGGATTGCAGCTGTGATTAGAGTTGGGGACTACCAATGAGCCCTTTTGCAACACTGTTATGGTTTCAGCTGGGATAGAGTTAATTTTCTTCCTAGTATTTGGTACAGTGCTGTGTTTTGGATTTAGGATAAGAATAATGTTGATAACACACTGATGTTTCAGTTGCTACTAAGCAATGTTTACACTTAGTCAAGTGTATCTTTAGTTTCTCAGGCTGCCCTGCCAGTGAGAAGCCTGGGGATGCACAAGAACCTGGGAGGGGACACAGCCAGGAGAGCTGATTCCCACTGACCAAAGGGATATTCCATACCATATGGCGTCATGCTCAGTATATAAATGCGGAAAAACTGGTCTGGGACTGCTGCTCAGGGACTGGCAGGGCATCAGTGATGAACACTGGTGATCAGTGGTGAACAACTGCATTGTGCATCACTTGTTTTGTATATTCTAATTATTTTATCATTATTATTTTCCCTCTCTTTTCTGTCCTATTAAACTGTTTTTATCTCAACCCATGAATTTTATTTTTTTCTATTTTTCTAATCCATCCCACTGGGCGGGGGAAGAAGTGAAGGAATGGCTGTGTGGTGGTGTGCAGGTTTTGGCTGGGGTAGAGTTAATTTTCTTCACAGTGGCCAGTATGTTTTGGATTTGTGCGGAACAGTGCTGATAATATAGAGATGTTTTTGTTATTGCTGAGCAGTGCTTACACAGAGCCAAGGCCTTTTCTGCTTTTTTGTACTGCCATGCTGGTGAGGAAGCTGCGGGTGCATGAGAAGCTGGGAGGAGACAAAGTCAGGACAGGTGACTACAACTAACCAAAGGAATGTTCCATACCATATGGCATCATGTTCAGTGTATAAAGCTGGGAGGAAGAAGAAGGAGGGAGGGAACTTTTGGAGTGATGGCATTTGTTTTTCCAAATAACCATTGTGCATGATGGGGACCTGCTCTCATGGAGATGGCTGAACAAAACTCCCTGACATTGCAATTAAAACATTTTTACAAACCCAAGAATTACAAAATAGAAACTACGTTGGAAAAATTTCTAAAATCTCATCATATATAGCAAGTAGAGATACACAGAGAGTTTTCTCATCACTTCCATTTTTGTAAAAAAGCCTCGTAATAATTAAGACTACTCCTCTAGCATGTGTTTTCCATATGCAGCTCTATATCAAAATGTACTTTGGTAGCAGAAAAAAATTCTTTACAGAGCACTAGTAGATAATCTCCAGATGCTTTAAAGAGGGTTGTTCCTGTCCATTACTGTATATATAAAGACAGGTAAAGAAGGCACCTGAACTCATAAAGTTATACGTAAACTCACTAGGGCGAGACATTCAGAGGTGGGGGACCTGCATGGTCCTGACGAAATGTCTGGGGGCTCCCAGGTAGCTTGTTGCCTTAGGTTTCCTTTATGTAGAAACAGGCCTGAAAATGCAAGCAATGTCCCCTAGGGTCGGGACATAGTTGCAGTCAGATTTGAGAGCTCCCAAACACCAAAAATGCTTGTAGCCACCGTGTTTGTATCAGGAAGTAGTACACGTGAGTGGGCATGGGTTTGTAAGACCAGCCATCTGAGGATGAGATCCTGATATCTGTGCTACAGATACATGTTTTAACTTTGGATTATTTCCAGTCTGGTCCAGTGCCCCAGAAGCCCTTCAATACTGGGATTGGACTAGGCAAGCTCCTTGAGGGCAGCTTCTCATTTATATTCATCCTGGAGAATTTCATTTATACAGAAAACCCAGAAACTGGACTTTCTTTCTCCAAACTATGTGAACTATGTGAGGAACATGCTTATTTGAAAAGGATGCCCCAGAAAAAACGATGCCTGAGACCCAGCAGTTGGATACCTCCAGCAACTGTTTCTTAATTGCTTGTAAAAGAAATGACAGCCTGGGAATTTGAACATCTTTTCAAGGAGATAATAAAAAACACGGATGAATACTTTCATGGTAAATCCTCTGAAAAAAAAAGTCTCTCATTTAAAAGTCAAAAACACCACAGATGGCAGGTGATAGCAAACAAAGAACTTACCTTGGCTGTATCTCTGTTGGCTTCAGGCAGCAGCATGATCAACAGATGCAAAGCTTGTAGCTGTAACTTGATCTTGGAGATTTCTAAGGATATGAATAATTAATATTTTTGAAATCCCAGTTGCAATGGGTTTGTGCAAAAACCTTGTGTGTCAGCAGTTCTAGAAATAATAACTACTACCCGGTTGAGACTAGCATGTTTAGGTGTTGTCTAGGAGTGGAGGTTTTTTTAATGAGTGGAGGTTTCCTCATCACCTTGGATCTTTGTCACAAGGGGAGATAAGGCTCTATAAAATTCTGTTTACATAGTAACAAGACAATATTTTTCAGTACTAGCTAGTTTTTCTTAGTTATCTGGGTATTTTTTGTAAGGAATAAAATAATTTCATTCTGCACAGACACCTCCTGTTCATTCTTCTCCAAACTGCTACGCCATTGTAACTGCATGCAGTCCAGGACTCTCAAGGAGCACATTCAGGTATGTGAAGGTTATAGGAAAAGGTCAGCTCCTTCTGCCCCTTAAACTACCTAATGGAGACACTAAAAACTTGGCTTGAAACCTTGCATAAAGTTCCTCAGTTTTCTGTACCAATTTTCCTAATTAATTCATCATCATGAGAGTTTCACTCTGTCCTAGCTCAAGTGACTTTACAGTGAAGTCATAGGTATGGTAAGGTACAACTGCATTCTTCCTGGAAGAGAAATGAACAAAATGTACTGAGAATGAGAGAGTGTATGTACACTGAAAACAAAACCTGACTGCCTGCAGCTTTCTGTGATCACACATAGCTCTGTACCAATATTCTGACCTCAGCATAAACCTTAAGTGACATAAAATAGATCCAAGAGAATATCAGCTAAAGAGCTGATTTTGAGTTTACCTTGCAGAAATTTTCATTTGTGAAACTTGTAACTGGTGTGAATCAGAGTCTATATATGAAAGTCATTGCTCAGTCATTGTTTACTCATAGGTTCCAAATTTTACACTGAACAGTTGTGTTATTCATACAACATACTTATGCTATTAGCTAAATGCAAACACTTTTTTCTATTTGTAAACAAAATCTTGCAGAAAATTCAAATATTTAGGCAATGCACTGGGCCTGTTTTTCTCACACTGGGCCTGTTTTTCTCTCTTCCGAGAGAGAGAAAAATTACATTTTTTTTCCTCTATACTTCAGAAAGAGAAAAAAAAATGTAATGTCTACTCTTCCATTTTATCTAGATCAGTCCAAACTAACTCAATTTCCACATACTTTCCACTAGCGTGATGAAAGCAGGCAGATATTCTACTGTGAAGAGTGGGCTTGGGAGTTCTCTTATAAACATTTTCAGCAGTCCCGCTGCATCATTATTTCGTACTTGGTCCCAGTCAAAAGTGTCTTCGTAAAATTTTGCCTCAAGTTCTTGATGGAGATTCTGAAAGATAAAAGAAACATTTGGCCTTTAATCATTGTTGTTGACCCAGCAACAATAATAATTTCATAATGTCATAATTTCAGAAGTCCCATTACAAACAGAATGCAGGTTTGCCCAGCACTCGAACTAAAGCAGCCCTAAACCAGTGGCAGTCTTACACCCACGTGGAGTTCAGAGCAGGTTAGCAATCAAGTTCCTGGGGGTATTTGGTAACCCAGGTTAAATTTGGTCTGCTATTGCTAGATTTCTGCCCGTGACCCTTTGAACCATCTTAAAGCACGAGAGTGTTGTGCAATGTCTTAGAACTAGAAACAGAAAACTCAGTTAACCAGGATCTTTTTAACACAGATGTTCTTTTTGTTTAAAACACTCTCCAGAGGTTCTGACCCTTAAATCCCAAAGGAGTGGTGTTTCTTCCTCACTGCTAGTGAACTTGCTAGATAGACTATTGGCATCTGAATTCATGCACCTTTAGCAAATGGCTTTAACTTTGGGTCTTCCTGTCTTTAGAAGGAAGTTTTATGTTAAAATAATTACATTAGATTTGGTCAAAATGCAGGAAAATAAAGGTATCAAATTATTACTGTAAGAAAAACCTCCACTTAATGCATAACCCTCCCCAATCCCCAAAACTCAGAAAACACAAGAGAGGTCTAAGAAATGATGCTTATACCATTTTGGGTGCCCATTTAATCCTCTTGTTCTAATATGTAAGCTGCATAATAGATGTCTGTTTAGTTCTGGGGCATCACTAATCAGTGTTCAACACACATGTGAATGGGAAATACTCAGCAAGGTTCCTAATAGGAAGAGAGTTTGGCTTCAAACCCAAATGACTGTTTGGAAAATGCAAGCTCTTAAAAAATTGTTGAGTTAAAATGATTGAAGGACGCTATTGTAATATAAGGATATCCATAAATAATACAGCTTTCACAATTATTACTGGCCAAACACTGTCTTATCCGTAGGAAGTTGGTTGCTGCTTTTTATGAGACCCTTTATGACAAAATATATCCATAGCAAATATTCAGGTTTCAGATCATGTTTTTGTCAAATGTTCTCTAACATTATGCAAAAAGTTTAGTCTGTTTCAGCAGAAAAGCTTTTAAAAATTAATTCTGTTTACCACGTCTCACATGAATGGAAGGAAATTACATATCAAATACAGTCACACATAATGAAGTAGAATGGTTGCACAAAAGGAAGTAGAAAGTCATTCAGGATTTGGCATATAATGTTACAGTCTCATTTTTACTAGCACATTTAACTGGTTGTAATCTGGGCTATCTCAGCTTCCTCTGTATTCACATCCTTTGCACATGATCCATACAAACACCTAGACTAAATTCTCTCCTGGAAACTGACTGGGAAATGTGGAAGAGAAATCCCCACCTCATCAAAAGCACAAGAGGACAGATATCTACTCCACATTATTCTGCTTAGAACTGGGGAAAAGCCGCAGAAAGAGAAAGCAAGATTTTCAAAACAAAAACATTATATATATATATATATGTATGTATATGCATATATACATACATATATATCTCTCTCCACACAGGTAAGAATATATTTTATACACCCAATTCCCTTCACCACCCCATATAAATATATATATATATGTATGTATGTATCTAAGTACTTTTAAAATATGTGTGTGCAGTTTTTTTTAAACATGATTGACCCTACACTAGACTATCATACATTTTTGGTTCACTGGAACTTTTGTTACAAACCAGATTACAGAGGAAAACTTGTATTTATTTCTTTATTCTTTGTTTTATAGAAGAGTAACCTTTAATCACTTCCATATGCCTTTTCTTTCTCCAAACAAGACTGAAATAAAGTTGGAATGCCCTCAAATCCTAATGTCATAATAATGTATGAAGGCTTTGAAGGATGAAATCTGGATATGCTTTGAAATCCATCTTGCTCGTTGGGTTGTTGAACAGATTTAAATGAAACCAAAACTCAAATAATTTAAAACTTTCATATGGGCAGTTTAATTTACCACCCAGTAAAAGAGAGAGAGACTTTATATTACATATAAAGTCATACCTTATAGTAGCTCCCTTGATATGGGTTGTGAATAAGAATTGAACAATATGCAGTACAGTGTACACAAATAATATGAAAATAATTGAATTAGAGCACAGCCCTGCTGTGTAATCTCCCTGAAGAGGTTGGTAAGATTTGAGATTGTGTGAAATAACATTTAAGCATTTGTATGAAAAAAAGAGAAAGCTGAGAAGTACAGGGCAAATTAGGAACTTCCATCTGCAAGATGGGGCACTTTTCAAGGCACCGGGTACTTTTATAAATCCACAAAGTGAAAGGAGCTGGGATACTACTGCCTATCGTTGGTGTGTTTCACATAACGTTGCTTTTCCGTGTACAGTAACTTTTTCTCATTCCCAGCCCAAGCCAGTTTAGCAGTCCCCAACATTTGTGTGGCTGCCACAATGTTGAGACTTCCTGCCTCAGAAAATAAGGCTAACTTTCTTGAGGACGACAAAGTGGGAGTAGAATGCACTATAAGGTGTTGCTTAAACCAGATCAAAAAAACCTAGGGTAAAAAAAAAGAAAAAAAGGCAAAAATGTTGGAATGAGGTAGACACTACTAAGCCCAGAAAAAACCACCAACCCAACAAAAAACACCATGTTTTCCTAATTTGCCTTTGCCAGCTCCCAGAATCAAATTAGTCTGGAGAAACAATAGCAAGCATTACTGCCCCAAAATGTCAGGTGATTCACTACCAACTATCCTGTGTTCACAGCCCGAAAACAGCCTGTAAAAATGCAGTGAACACAGGCCAAATTTCTCTCAGTTGGAAGATGAAACTGTAAGATCACAGAAGATAAATGAGAAATAAAATGCCACAGAGGTTAAAATGGCATGGAATAAGATCTTTATCTGATGTTCACTCAGTTTAGCAACTCTGGATTTCTGAAATAAATTAAAACAGAGATAAGATCTTAGCAATTTTGGATGACAGAGATAAACTGAAAGGATCCCTCAATGTTTCATGGAGAAAAACTGCATTCAACATCAAGACTGTGCTTTATATAGAACATTAACTAAAGTAAAGCAATAGACTACATGTTCTGTGCTTCACTGGTTCCCAGGAACCAATCTGACCTTTCACTGGTAGGAGAAGGAGCTAGACAGATCAGTATTTATGTGCAGTGTGAATTAATGTGTGTGATGTATTTTTTTATAGAGAGTCTACAGTCCAGAAGATGGAAAATTGGCACGAGTGTGTACCTTGACTCTGGAGGCAGATCCGGGAACCCGTAGAATTCCTTCAGTTTCCAAACCTGTTTCCTCAAGCTTGAGCAGCAACTGAAAGACAACAAAACACTCAGAAAGGAAAATAATCAAAAGCACTTAAGACTACTATTGACTTTCTTTTTCAGTCTTGGTATCCTTGAAAATAATTTGAAAAATATATATTTCTATGAAATCTGGTCATGAAAAGATGCCAGCTCATGTAAATAAACCTGCTTAATTTGTTCTCCATATTCCTGACCCTGAAATAAGGAGTAGGCAGAGTACAGAAAACTGCTAATGCAATAGGCCTCTTCTGTACTAGACTTGAGAGTTGGCTCTGCTATAGAACAATTAACACATAAACATATTAATAAAAGAGCAGATACACTGGGTAAAACACAATGGTGCATTGAAGGAAAAATAACCTCTGAGAAATGTTGAAATATGCCCCAAGGATCAGAATGGAAAGGTCCATAGTTAACATATGATTTTGGGAACTGAGAACTCAGATTAGAAAATGATCGCAGGATATTTTATTTTGAAATTTCTGTGAATAGAGGAATAAGCTTTCCATTCTAATTCTTTATTAAAAAAAAATTGACATAATTTTGAACACTGGGAAAAAAAAAATAATTTCCTAGCCTTTAATCATACAGCTCTGGATTTTCACCACCAGATCTGCTTCCTGCCCTAACTCAGATTCTTCTAATTTCCCATGGCATCTTGACAGGGGAGCTGTGGAGCTAAATGCAAAGTCATGTAAATATTCAAGTTGTGTCAGTGTTTCCCCTGACGCTCCACACCACTTTCCCTTTTGTCAGTATTTACAGGGAAATTTGTTGTAGTTCTGAGTCCATGTGAATCTGTGTAATTGCACATGTACTTGTGTCTGTGTACCTGTCTCCAAGACATCCACCAGATGTCATTGTACTGCCAAATGGTTCATATAAGTGTTGCTGTCTTGTCATACAAACCTTAGTGAGAAGTTATCACTTCTATTCTGGAAATAGTAGCTAAGTAATACATACAGTTTCAACTAATGTGAAATTAAAGCTCCTGAGAAAACTCATGTCTGCCATTTCTGTACAGACAAAACTTTGCATGGCTCTCTAGTTTAATGAAAAAGGGAAGCAGAAAGACATTTGTTTCCTAGAGTTTCCTGTGTGGTTTCATATAATTACAAAAATAAAATGAGGTCCACACCACAGATAAAACACACAAAAGGAGTAAATTTTGTCTCCTTGTCAAGAGGTTTTCAAACCACCATATACAGTCAGACAACCTGGACACACACACAAGTCTGTAAAGCCTGCATCTTCTCTTATCTGATGACTCATTTGAGTGTCAATGCAAATGATGGAGAAGCAAATCTTACTGGCCAAGCAGGCTGAGTTATACTCACTTTTTGGAAGATGAGGGGAACTTTTATTCCGGGAACCTTCTTTTGATCGTTCTCCAGCAGGACGGTGAGAGGGACTCCAAAAAGACCATTCTCTAAAAATAATAACAACAAATGTGAAAAAGAGTAAACACAACCTCGTATGCTCCTTCTTTGCAAGGCTGATCGACAGGCAAGTGGTTGCAATGGGGATGCCACAGCACAGTACCTCGTCCCCGCACTCTCTCTGCACGGTTCCTCTTCAGTTCCACCCCCAGAGCATCGTAGAAGGCTGTTAGCTCAATCAGGGAGAGGTAGCGGATCTTCTTCATGTCTTCAGGGGAGAGGTCTCCAACCTCTGTCAGTCCAAACCGGCTTTTCCGAACAATGAATTTCTACAGTAGAGATGGGTCGCATCTTTATTTGCACAAAAATTACAGGGAGTGAATTTTTGTTTTGAAGGAGGTGCCCGTATGTGATAGGAAGTCAGGTTAGGGTAGGTGGATAACAAAAAAAAGATGAACTATAGCCCTATATATTGGCCTGGTATGAGGACACTGTTTGCATCCACCTGAACATAAAATTGAGCTTCTTGCTCACCACATTCCCTTGCAGTTTGACTGTGAAGTGGTGCTGGAGCACCTCTGTGCCTGTACTGCAGCTAGGACAAATGAGTTACGTACTACTTCTTGTAAACTTTTGCCCTGTTTCAGCAGGATGCAACATTCTACTCTGATTCTGCTTTCCCCAAAATGTCTTGAATGTTGTTGAAGTAGCTGACACAGTCCACCATGGATATGGTTGTGTATCAATTTGCATAATGCTATTAATTTAGGAGGTCTAGTAGAAGAGTTCAAACTAAAGACCTGAGGAGAAACCCAGAAGCAAAATTACTCAGTCCTGATGCCAACCTGCCAATTTACTAGTATTTTTTATTACTTAAGAAGCATTTAGGCTTAAAAACAGGACTCCCAGCAGCTCAGAAATAATTTATTCAAGTACACTTGGACTAAATGATACTGAGGAATTTAGGGGCATGTGAAGATGTCTACATGTTTTAGAAACTACAGTGTCATGGACCAGAGTCAGGATTATTACCTCATGACAGACACATTTGTACAAATGTCAAAAAGAACAAATACCCATCAGTTTCTGACATAATTGTTAGATATAATAACCAAGTTACAGTAAAAAACCCATGCTTTTCAAAGATCTTTGGTATTGCATGACTTTTAAATTTAATTGTACTTCAAAAAAAATGTTAGTCAGAGGTATAAACAAACAGTATTACAAATTATCTCCTCCCTTTAGGGATCTGAGTAGAAAGCCAGCCTTTAATAATGTTTTGCTTCTGGAGATTTCAGCCCAGTCCTTCCTTTTTTTTAAACAAATTTGGACTCCCTAGGTCTAAACCATCTTTAAATGAAGCCAGCCAAACTGGTTAGGAAAAAGGCAAACAAAAAAAAAATTTAAACATACACCAGATTTCAAAACAAGAGAGCACAAAGACATCTAGATATGTAGTTTAGGACTTCCTAAATTATATTGCACATGGTCAATAGGGGTTAATAATAATTGGGGCAGAAAGAGTGCAGGGAACAGAATAAATAATGAACATGTTGTCTGGAGCATTTTAGCCCAGAATATTCCTTCCCTAGAATGGAGTAATTCCACAATTCCCTTTTGCTGAGACTTAATAATGTAACAAAAGTTGCATGCAGGATAGTCTTCTGAAAACACATGAAATACTAAAGAATATCTATGCATTTTGGTTCCAGTGATACAAGAAGTCCAAAAGCAGTCAAAGCACAATAAATCACCTTGAAAATAAGGAAAAAAATCAGATAGTACACATATATTTTCTGAGGGAAAGTGAAAAGGTATGTTTGCCCATGAAAAAATGCCAGACACTCAAAACTGATTACAAAGGGTGCTACAATGATTTTCCATGGTGGTTGTTTGACTTATAGGGTCATTATGATGTGATGCCATGGTTAGCACAAGGTTTGGGGCTGGGTCTCTTTCTTCTGTCTTGTGCCACAATTTTCTAGTGTTTTTTCCTTACAAACAGTGCTGTTGAAATATGCAGCACTGAAGGAGGTTATGCTATCCTGAAATTTAATTACTAATGTTTTGGCTAAGGACCATGTCTGATATATTTTGTGATGTTGTTTTTATGTGGAACTATGCAGTGTATTCAGATGGGCCTGAAATGCTTACTGACTCATAGCTCTGTAATATCTTTGACTAAGTCACATGGATTATGGCCCCACGCTGGGGAAACTGCACGTAACACCATGCAGCCAGTGTTGTTGAGGTGGCAGTTCTGGGAGCTGTGGGGGACATGCTATTTTATGACATACAATATCTCTGTGGAGCTCTACATACACTGTCCGTGTAGTTGATTATGCTGTCAGACCTGCCCTGGAGAAAGTATGATGTTGGACAGTCGTCAGTCTAGCCCCCCTGGCCCCCCCTGGGAAAGGAGGGACCATCCTCCAGAGCATAGGTGGCTGGTTGTTTGGTGTAACAGAGCAAGAGGTGATTTTTCTGCTGAGGCCCGTTACAGTCCGAGTCATTATGGGAAAAAAACAAATACCATGACTGACAGCAGATGAAGTAAGGGGAATGCCAACACCAACAGCTATGACTGTTGACTTTATTACAGAGAGAATCTCTCTCTGTAATGTCCTTTCTTATTTCTTGTGTACTCATGAACTCACAAAATGATGTCCTGTATGCAGAGTAGTTCAACTCCAGCCCATAGATCCGTTTTTTCTAATACTAATCAATCATGAATACACAGATCCATGATATTCAGTGTGGCATCTTCTCTTCACTCCTTGTCAGAAGTTTCCCTCCTTGGTCAGCTGCAAATTCTCTTGAGCTTCTTCAGCAAACAATTTGTGTCTGTGTGTGTTGTACTAAAGGTCAAAATCATAACGAATGCAGAAATACCCTTACTTTCCACAGGACACCAAGTTATCCCCCCAAAAAAAACCCCAAAACAACCAAAGACACAATAAAACACAGGGATTCCACACAAGTTGTGTAATCCACTTGGTGTCTTATCTTTCAACAAGGAAGCTTACTTCTGCATCTCAGCTTCTTCTTCTTTGGTAGAGTCTGAGATGGACAAATGAACGTCTGTGTGGATTATAGCAGCTTCAGATTAGTTCAGGACCTCAGGACATCATGACAGTCAGGAAATGCTTCCAAATAATTTACTGCTGACATCATACATGTCACTAAAAAGGTGGCATTTGAATCACTAAACTAATGCTTCTAGAGATGGAAGTTGTGAGGGCTGATGGAAGTAGAAAACAGATTTCCTCTACTTCATGAAATAATTCCAGATAATGACAAAACTGCTCAGTGTATGTCTGGTTGGATGATATGTAAATTTTTCTTTAACCATTCATATAGTATTTCCTATAGCACTGAATACTGATTGGAGACAGCCAGTACTGCTGCAGGACTAAGGTTTGCTTTCCTCCTTTCATCTACAGAGCAATTTTAAATCCATGGGTTAACAAAGGCAGATAATCTGTGGGGGAATAAAGTGGAAAGCAGACTAGTAATGATAATGATTGTTAGTTTCCATGCCAGTAAGTGGTTTTTATTTCTGTATGAAAAAACTGTGGATGATGCAATATTTCTGGACTGAGTTACACATATTCATCTGTGATGGGTACAAGCAAAGACCTGGCTTGGATATCCATATCAACTTTGGTGCCTCTCTGGGAGTCAATCACACGCAGTAGGCAGGCATAGCAGGCAGTCTGTACAAAGCACACATCTAAAAGGAAAGCTCGTGTATCTTAACAGACTCCAACATGCTGGGATATGAAGCAGGAAATTGCTGTGTTAAAGAAAACAACCAAGGAAATATGTGGAGAACAAACTTACAGGCAAAGCCGAGTCTTCTTTTTTGAACCTCTGATTTTTTGGCCACTCTTGGGTTTTTGGAAGGACTGCAATGGATTCTGAGAAAGAGACCTCATAAGATAGCTCTTCTGTTATGGATGGGCTGCCTTTATCTAGTCCACAGTCTAGACAGCTATTAGCTGAAAATAAGGGAAATTATATATGAATCCTGAATATATGCTTGCATTTAGTACAGAGACATTAAAAAATTAAACCAAGATGACAAAAATCTTGAGACAGTAATAAAGGAAGTGCTTCAAAGAGGAGTTTCAGTGCAAACCACAGCATGTTCCTGTTTTGTCTGGAGGAAATAACCCCTTAGAAATAAAATCCCTATTTTCATTTTAGATTATTTAACTTGTTGCTTTTTGTGAGAAAGATAGTCAAGTTGGAACTTCCTGTTTATCAGGAATTCCAAAGTTTTTGTACTCTGTCCTTGTCTACCCAAGCCAGCAAACTGTGGTGGCACTTGTCTAATGAACAATTAAAAATAAAAGGTCTTGACAGAAAAATGCTGTCGACACAGTTTCTCAGGTTACTGATGACTTATTTATAATCATAAGACATTGTGCATATATTTTATGAGGTCACAGATATTTCTCACAGTTGCTAGTTTAGTTGTGTGGCACCAAAACAGGACACAATGTACAATATTCCAGTTTGAAAAACACTATATCTACTGGCATTTATGGTAGACATTGTGAACTGACTTATTGCTCTTTAGTGAAATAAGTGGATGCAAGAAGAAAATTTTTTAAATCAGTGCAATCAAGTTCAGTAATATGCTATTGTCATGTAATCCAAAGTGTGATAACATACGTGATTCCAGTGTTGCCAACTTTCATGACAGATCTCTCATATCTCAGGTCCATTTTTAGTTTTCCCTTAAGGTCCAGCTCCTAGACTAACCCAATTGGAATATAATCATAAATTTAACTGAAAGTGAAGTAAAATTTCGTCCCCCAGGACTGCAGGGAAGAATTTACTAACATCACCCAAATGTATTCAAAAGCCATGAAAATCAGAAAGTGAATTAAAAAACATTACATATTTTATAAACCTGTGCATGCCCCATGTTTTTTGAATCATTGCATTTACAGATACAGGGACTTAAATATTTTTTGCAACACCCTGTGTTTTGCAAGTCTGATATGAAAAAAACTGAGTATGTTATTGAGTGGCTTCTGGTTTCTGAACTATGGATTTAGATTTTATCCAATAGCCAAGCCCTTTAAGATGTTTTCCATCTCTCTTTCCACCCTTAGACCTGGGACCACAGACTGTCCTTGGTAGCCCTGGGCATCTGGTTCCCCATCTGTTCCAGTACAACTGCTTGAAGAGCAGAAGTATCAGGAGAGCAGCTTTTGCCACCAAGGAAAATACCTGTGGCACTATATCCAGAGGTAAACATCTAGTTTAGTACATCTAGACTAGTTTAGTAATTTGGGTATAAATATACATTTAGTTAAGCTCTGAACAATGCTAACAGGAAAAGCTTTCAAAATAAGAGATGGACTTTCTCATGGAAGGCTGCTGACAGTTATCCAGACACTGATTAGAGTAGAGCTATTGTTTTCATTTGCAGTGCCAGTGACTGTCAGGACAAAGCATTTAAGGGATAACACCATTAGTAGATCAGAATAATAAGGCAGAACCAGGTAAATGATACATTTCTAATACTGCAGTCACTGCAGTACCAGAGAAATATGGAGGAAATATGCATCTTTCTTGTCATGATATACAAAAAGAAAATACACCGATGACATATTTTGGACAAATTCTGCAAAATATTGCTTAGTGATTATTTTTACAATACCAGTCTTGCAATGATCAGTATTTTTCAGATGCTGATGCCTCGAGGGCAGCAATCTGTGTCTGTACAACACCGGTCATTCATAGGAAACTGGGTCCTGCATGACAATAAGCTGACAACGATTTTACAGAAATATATGCAGCACTGCCCCAACATAAAGGAGGGGACTAACCCCTGAACACCAAAAAGGTCTTTCTGCCTATTATTTTTCCAGGAGAAAGTGAACACTGGTTACATGTCATACTCACAGGTAACTGATTTCCAAACTGGCTTTTGCCCAGAGAGCTGGATACCATTAGAAGGAACTGGTGGCACTGGAACTGTCTCAAACGTGAGCTGGTAAGCAAGGAAAAATGATCAGACTGCAGTGAAGGTAAAAGTCAATGGACAGAAACTACTACAGTTCAAGCAATGATGTATCCTTCTCAGCTTACACTCTTTTCAAAAGATAGAACAACCTGTTGTGATTCTCCAGACTATCTTTTTCATAGCCAAGACTGAGAATTAATCTTGTCCAGCCTGCACAGATTTGGATCATGTTGAGGTCAGTAATATTACAGCCTGCTGTACCTAATGAGTCCTGTCCTATATAATGACTGAAATTAGCTAAGTAAATTGCTGTATAGAATTATACTAAGCAAAAAGTCCTCGTAGAACTGTAATTCATCCTGCATTTAATCATTTTGGCCACAAATCTTTTTGAAGACTCTTTGACACATGTTAAATATCTACTGGGCCCAGGCATCTGTCAGAAATTAGGCTCCTTTGGTGTCTCTTGCAATTTGGGCACCAGCAAGTTATTAATGGGTAGATGTCCTCCCATATACACTCCCATATACTAACACTTTTATCAGTGAACGGCAAAAAAGAGTTTGAGGGAATAAAGAAATTTTCTTTAGTCATCTTTCCACTTCAGAAGTCATTCTGCACTGTAGAGAAAGGGCATAGTAGCCCACGATGTGACTTTCAAGCAGTGTCACCTCTTATTGGCAGGGGAATTTTGGCCTTGTTCTCAGCAGTTCTGTGACTCATAAAGACAAATCCGAGTGTTTCTGTGTACACGGGGCAGTAGCAGCTCATCTACGTGTTCTTGGGTAAAAAAACCAAAGCAAAAAACACCATAAACAAGGTCAGGAATTAAAAAAACAGTCTGAAGATTACTCTGTGAAAATTACTACAATGTTCCAAACCTGTCCTGTATTTTTTTCTGCTGTCCTTTTCATCCTTGTGGGAGTCCTTGGACCCTCCACCTTCCTCGAACCTGCTGCCTCACTCTCTCTCAGCCTGATGGAGCAGCTCCAGTTTTCCAGCTGAACATACAGTTGAGAGACACCCTGAGCCCTCAATACCCGCTCTTTAAATTGCTTTTTAAATTGCTAAATCGGCTGTTTATCAACAAGCAGCAATGCCTCAGGGCAGAAATTTTGTCTTCCCCATTTGTAGGCAATGCACAGGAGCAGCATTCAGGCTGCTGAAAAATGTCGTATATTTAAAAGACAGGCAGCTCTTCCAATTGGAAGCCTGAAATAATCTTGCAGTTGTTTTGTTCCGCCTTATCCTCTGAGCTATTTGGGTAACAAAGTCGAATGCAACATGAATAAAAATCTCTCCTGAGAGAGTCCATTCAATGGCCTGCAAACTTGAGAGCAAACAGGATTTGAGTCACACAGACTTCCTTTGCCAGAAAACTGTAAGGACCATTGATTTTTTTAAAAAGGAGAACTATAGGATGCTTTTATGATAAAATCCCACAACATTTACACAAAAAGCTTTAGGACGTTAAAACCACTATAAATTTCAGGTGTGAGTATGGAAGTGAAGGGGATGGTTAAACCTGTCTTAGCAGTCTGGGAAAATCAACCATAAAAGTAGTTATGCTTCTGCTTAAGATCCAGATGGAGAAATTAATGGTAAACATTAGCAACTGGCTCATCTACTTTCAGTGCTCAGAATATCTGACCCAGCGAACAGTTTTCAGAATAGATTTACAATGAGCCTAGTTTATTAAGGAAAAAATACTTCCAGCCTTGTTACAAGGATGAAGTCAATACTGAAGCACTTGCAGTAACCCGCTTCCATGAAGCACACAGAGCCAGCAGAAAGTTTTGTACCCATCAGGGCTTGCAATGGCTTGTGGGCTGCTCTAGCTTCTAGAAATTATAGAATAATGTGGACTGTGCATAGTATTAGGGGTAGCTAAAATGTCATATCCTCCTATTTTACTTTTTTTTTTTAATCTTAGGATAATATGATAAAAAAAGGGGAAGACTTGGAATAAACCCTTTTTAATACATGAATTTTAAATATCCAGATTGTTTCTGTAGTATGAAAGAAGAATAAAAAACTGTGGAAGACCTTAATGAATGTGAAAGACCAAGAGTCAGATTGTGTCCTTAACTAAACTGGGATCAATTTATTCATTTTGCTGGGGATCCAGTGAAGGTGAAGCTTCTCATACCCTGATTTCTGACTAAAAATGATTCATTAGACATATTTAAAATGAGCCCTCTGTTTACTGCCAACGGGGAGAGGAAATCAGAAGAGCAAGGAGAAGGGGACTAGGTAGATAGTTCTTTAGTAGTTACCCTAATTGTAGAAGATGTAAAATTAAATCACTGGAGCACCAAAGAAACCAAATTCTATTGTCAGCCCTGCAGCTAAGGGAAATAAAGACAGAGGAGGATAACCATATAATTCTGGTCAGAATATAATTTGCCAATGCTTTGAATATATTCATATCTCCAAGCACTGTCATTACAAACACCTTTTCATGCAAATAGCTCTGTGTTAGTGATTCCTCTTAGAACATGATTTTCTTATGCATTGCTGAAGTAAAATGCTTCTAAAAACTCTTAAGCAAGGTGCAGAGCTGGGCTGTTAAGCATGATGCTTCACTTCCTCCCTCCAATAACAAAATCAATGTATGTGTGTGTGTGTGTGTGTCCATTTGTATTCTGCTGATTTTTCCACGCTTTGAGCACTAGAAACGCCGATGGTTTCTGATGGAAGCAGCAGGGTACCAGCAATAAGGAAAATCAGGCCACGGTGATTAACAAACCATCCAACTTAAAAGTCGGTTTTGTGGCTGTCAGTCGAAGCTGCTGGCTGTAGACCTGTCTGAAGCAGAGCAAAAGCACCTCAGCTGGACAGGCTGCTCTATCAAGGCATGGCTCTTGCAAGGGTGAGGTACCGTAGGGGTGGCATTTTGCCCCCAGGGATCATGGCACCTTTCCAGGACAGGTAACAGAAGAAAAAAACCCAAGCAAAAAGAGGAATGGCTGCATTTCCTTTTAGTTGAGTCCACTTTGTCTCTTGAGGGAACACTCCAGCCCTGAGGGGATGGACCTCAAGGTAGGATGACTGAAAAAGCACCCTTTGCTCTATGTTGACTCCCGCAGAGGCTGACCACCATCTAGCAGGCAGGCTTTTTTTTTTTTTTTTTTCAGAACAGAGACAAAAAACCAGGGTAAATCTGTCTTTCTTTTTCCCCACTCAAGAGGACAACTATTTACGCCTCTTTAGTGGTCCCCTAAATCTCATCTCAGGTGACCTTAGTGAGCTAATCACCTTTTATCTCATCATTAAGCACAGAAGAGAGTAAACCATTCTGTGACCCATCCCTCCAGGCTCTTGCAATTCTTAGGTCGTCGGGAAGGAGGTGTAAATCCATCCTCCTAATGGGGAGGATTATAGAGTTATGTGAAACAATTAGAGCTGTTTTGCTATTTGCACCAGGATTACTTCTTCCTTCCCAACAAAAAGGCAGGATGGGAAAACGAAACTTCATGTCATTTCAACCACTCTCCTTACCACCCTCTCTTCACCAGCTGTGCTGAAAAGATTTGCCCCTTCCCATCCCGTGTCGCTTTTTTCTTTTGGCTTGGTTGTTTTTAATGCGGATCTCCTTCCTAAGAAGATTAATCACAAAGATTCACCACCAGCTGTAGTGCCGTGCCCAAAGAGGCAGCAGAGCGCGAAGAACTGCTGATACCCCCTGAAAAATACTGCTCGGGAAACCCTTAGGTCGGGAACACGAAGTGTATTTATCCCTGAAGAGCTGATAATTAGAACGAAGTTTCTAAATCCCATAATAAGCAGCAGAGATAGAAGCAATGGTCAAAAGGAAAACCAAAAGAGTGCTGAGAACCTTGCAGGCTTTTAGAAATACGATCTGTGTCACAGTCCATTTAGGGGAAGTGATGATGTGCTCTGCAGTTGTATTTGTGCATCTATGTTTAACCTGTGGAACTGCATATTTTTGTGGGAAGAAAAATTAGAAGACTTAATTACTTATTTGATTTTATCTTTTAAACTTTAAAAATGCAGAGCTAGTAAGTGAAATTAATTTCAGAGGAGGTAAAAAAGTGATTTGAAAGGCAATTGGCTATAAAGATACAAATTCCTCTAGCAAGTGAGAAACTTCAGAAAGTCAGAAAGTAGAAATTAAGCAGGTAAAAAATACATCAATAATGTGCCCATCTGAGAGAACAGATACAACATTTATTTTTCTGATTGAATGTTATTAGCAAGCTTAAGCTTTTTTAAACACATTAAGATTTACGAAGACTTGAATCAGGAGAAGTGTGCTAATCTAATTAGAAGAACCATCTGCTTTTAAACGTTCATACAAACTTGCCTGATTATTTCTCATGAAAGAAAGTCTGACCACAGGAAACTACTGGATAATTCTGGATGTATTTGTGGGATATCCACAAGAGATTCAAAAGAATCCAGATACTCAAATTTGGAGACAAATAAGTTAACTTTCTGGCCATTATATCTTTTCAATTTTATCATAATTATGCAGCTACAATTTTGTTTCCCCCTTTTTTTTTGTTTGTTTTGTTTTGTTGTTTGTTGGTTTGTTTTGTTTTAAGTAATCCAGGGTGCCAAGCCTTGAGGAGAAGATAGTTTTGTGATGGCAAAAACGTTGATATCAATTTTAAAGGTGAGATTGTGAGCTTATTGGTGACTCCCACTTAAGATATGACGAGTGACTAAGGTAAAATCATGCATGTTTCTTTGAGCATCAGACTAAACTCACACAGTTGACTGCATTCACCAGAGTCAAAATATGTAGTGCTAGGGATTGGTTCGTTTAGAGTTATGCTCAGGGAAAAGCGGAAGAAACCACCAGAGGTTTTGTTCACTTCTGAAGCCATGAAGCAAATGAACAGTTAATAGATTTTCATTTGCTACGTAAGCGAAACGTAACTGCCAGTGTACCAGTTGCAGTCATGCTGGCAGGTGTTTAATTTCTTATGCATATTTGAACCCCAATTGCTTCATTAGAGAAGTTTTACTTCACCACTGAGACTGCTGAGTAAATAGCAAGTGTCCCCAGAAGCCATAGAAAATTTGAATAGCTGCCAAGTGTAACTCACCAATTTCAAAAAAATAAAGGAGTAAATGTTAGTCTTGGTAGGAGATTGCAGGAGGAAGGCTGGTAACAGATACAATGTTATGTTACAGGTTAGTTGCAAAACTGTGCACCATCTATTGTGTTTGGTGTCTTCCTTTCTTCTCAAAATGTAGTAAATACAGTACTAAAAGTCTGGTCTTAGGGTCAGGAACTGCCACTGGCTGTCTGTACATTGTCAGCAGAAAAGGGTTCCTGTCTGGCAGAAACTTTGGTGAGCTATTTGCAAATTGCACAAAAATTAAGATCAAAGGCATTCACTGGGATACTTACGGAAGAGTCATTGGTGCCAAAGATGTCTCGCACATCCCGGACTGTGTGCTTGTTCTTCTTCCTCAAGGTCTGAGTGTAGGTGTTGTACCTCTTCTGTACGGCAGCAGCTTGAGTTCTGGTCAGAGTGGACAGCAGAGCTTGGCCATCCTCCTCTTCAGCTCCAGAGATCAACGTAGACAAACCTACATCTTGCAGCCATTCTGCCTCCAGCTCCCCTTCTGTGGAGGAAGAGAGTTATGTTACCAGGCCTGGCAAGGGAGGGTGAGGGGACTGAAGGAAAGGACTTGGAGTGATGGACTGCTGCCATAGCCTTTACCTTGACAAAACTCCAATTCCAGCCTTTCTCAGGCCACAATTTAAGATGGTTTTGTCAACATGCTCTCAACTTCCAGTTTGTCAGTGTCTGCACAAGAGAGGCTTACAAGAAGAACAGAAGAGGCATTTCTAACCTGTGCATCAGCATAGGCACGTGAAAAAGGCAACAGAGTAGTGAGCCTGACACAGCAAGGTCCTTAAAAGCTAACCCCCTTATTCAAGAGCATAAGTCTCCTCAGTTACCATTTATACCATGCTTACCATTTTTAGCAGGTTCTACTGGATAAAGACATTTGGCTGATAGAATTTAAATTGGTATTCAAATTCAAATAAACAAAAATATTGAAGATGTGTATACAATGGAATAATGTATTTGCACACTAACAATGGAATTTGAGATGCCGGAGGGCCAGCTGGTAGTCAGGCACCTAGAGAAGAAGCCACACTGAGAGAAGGGTGATGTCCACCTAGTCTAGTAGCTTGTTTTGAACAACATGATTAAGAACCAGAGCTGCTTACTAAAGAGCAAGGTTCAGTAAAGGGTAGGTAGCAAAGAGGTCAGGTAGGGGTGGAATATGTAGAAATAGCCGTCCTTGCATGCTAGGTATCACTCTAATTTCTAATAATTACAGATTCACTAGCACTGTATACCCCAGCATTTCTTGGTATCTTAATTAGTGACGAATATCTTCTTGAATCTTGTTTCTTAGGTGATTCAACGCTGCAACTGATTCCACTGTGAGATTAGGCACTGTGTGAAAAATTGCTTTCTATCCTGGCTCTATTGGACATGGGGGAAACTTCTGGCATCTTTTCACAGAGCCGCACCTGCAGTTCCCCCACTACCAAAACCTGCCCAGGCAAAGCCAATGCGGGTTTTCAGCTTGCTACCTGTTACATCAAATTAATATACCTCGTCATTATTGGACTAGGAGAAGCTCCCAACGTGCCTTCTCTGAATCATTTATGATTTTAACTTTTGCTGTCATTGCTTTTTTATTTGTCTGCTTTTTCAAGTAAACAGTCACAGTCTTTTAAAATCTCTCATCACACAGGAGATTTTGAGGTCCTTCTTTTCAGTTTTGGGAGCAATCCTAGCTCAGTAGTATGCTGCTTGAGACAGGCACTAATTTCATTACAGCTCTGACTGAAGAAGAGGTACTACAAATAAACATGTCAAACAGGAAATGGATTAATTTGCAGCATGTTCTATAAAACAACTAGTCAATGCTCTTATTGTTCTTGTCCCAGTGCTGGTCTTAATGGCAGGTTGGTATTTCCACTCTCCCTTTATTGCCTCTTCTTGACATCAGAATGCAGGCTGATTGAGGGACACCAGTTTGCTGCACTTTGGCAGCTAGATACACAAAAGAGAAAATTACAGGACTGGGCTGCAGGGACAAGCAAAAGCATCTTATGCATGTGCCATCACTGACTTCATTGTTAACTGCCCTGCCTCTTTACAAAGCTCTACAAAAATAGCTGCTTCTAAAACCCTTGCTCTGTGTTAGCCAGGGGTGTGACCAGCCCTGTATCCCGTGAAATAGCTTGTCCACTCTTATCCTTTCTGTCTCCACAGACAGGATGAGAGAGTGTTCCCTTCCCGTCTTTGTAAGTTTTGAGCTTCCCTCCTCGCTCTTCTTTCTAAGAAGGTCTCTTCTCATTCTTGTGTGCTGCCGTTGGAGCCACATCTGTTCATGTTTCATTTTAAAAATTATATTAATTTTAGCTTTTGTCTTGACATATTCTTTCCAAGTATTGAGTTTTTAATCAAACTTGGTTTTCATGATGCTATGAAAAATAGTAAGGCAGACATGAAATTCTGCCTGCTTACCACTTGTTTTCTCTGGCTTTTGGCCTCTTCCTGTTCCAACCACTCACAAACAATAGACTAAGAAATAGCAACAGCAATCAGAGGAGTAAAACTATCAAAGAAAAGAAATTTATGCATTAAAAAACCCTCAAAATTTTATGACACATAGGTTTTAAATATAGGTTAAAAAAACCCCATGTTGTTTTACAAAATCTTGTTTTGACAGTGTTTGCTACTTATATAGCAGGATCTTGATACTGTTTGATTCTGCTCCACCAGAAGACAAACAGATAATTGAGAGGGTAATTATCTTTTTCTCATAGAGATTGCTAGGAAAGAGGTGTGCCTTGCTTTGAATTTCAGATATAAACTGAAATAACTCACAGATATAACTTTAAACAATGCACAATATCCCAGCCTTGAAACATGGAAGTTATAAAGCAGCTCAGCACATCACAGACATCTGAAATACCCCGTTTCTTCCTCCTCCCCTACATTTTCACCCCTTGTGTCACTTTTTATAATCTTCTGTTCTTTTTTGATTGTATTTACTAACATCAGCAGAATAAGTGTGCTGTTCTCTGCCCTCGCACATGTTGTCTGGCAAACCACATTGTGGTTTTGACAGTATCAGCGGTGCCTGGCTGCTAGCACCCTTTGGCCTCCTTTTTAAGGATCCTGCATCTCTTCCTCTCAAAGACATATCAAAAGGGCGATGAATATTTGGTTTTATTTTGCCCCAAGGGTTTTCACATTGATTTGACAGGGAGAATTATCCTATTAGGACCTTAATAGAACTTCCAAGATTTATAACCCCAAACTGAATATATTCCTGAGCTTAATAACTAGGACAAACATTGCCTGGTTGTGTGTGAGTGTACGCAATATGTTTAAAACAACAAAATGAAGGTAAATGAAGTGTGGAGATGTACTGCATTTTGACTTGCAGTCTCATTTTTAATTCAGGTCAGAGGGGAAAAAATCAATGCATTGTAATGAGGTGTAATCAGACAAAGGGACAAAATAGGACTGGAGCAGTGTTTGGGCTGTTGTGAAGATTTCAGCAGTAATGAAACTGATGGAAAACTTTCTGGAAAATGAGCTCCTGTATTGACTTTCCCTACTAACTTACACAGCTTGGTAACTCACAGATTTGTGACATTCCCCTGATAGTGCAGGCTAGTCAGAGACACCTGTCAGTTCGTGCTGACAACTGAATGAAGAAGAGGCACCAATAGGGTTTATAACCTCTTTCTAATATCTTCAAGTTAAAGAGCATGATCAGACAAGAATTTTCTCAATAAGGAACACAGGAGTGCAGTTTAGATTTAAGCTGACTGACCATAATCCTCACAGCAGACCAAGATTTCTGGTGAACTGGTCTTTTCCCTTGGCTTCCAAGAGAGCCCTACCAGGAACTAGTGAGTGGGAGGTGTTTCCGATGGAAACAGTACATGGCTGGAGTTAGATACCTCTGTGTAGGCTACTTACCATGACTGATTACATATTTGTTTGATTAATAAAGTAGTACTTTTCCCCTCTTTTCCTGGGAGCAGAACTAATGACATCCCATTGTACGTCAAGGTAAAAACCCCCCATCATCACTCGTGTTAATTATTGTAAAGAAAGAACACGCTATTGTTTCAAAATCTATCTCTAGATCAGTAATTACTAGGCTAGTAGCCATGAGCCACAAGATATTCTCTAGGAAGAGTTATCAGTGGGTCCTGACCTCAGAAGAAATTCTTTTTCATCCTGTAGTAACACCTGGTATTTTGTGTTGCACAATATAATGCATTTGTAAATGGGGTCAAAACCGGAAAAAAATGTGAACTGTTGTTCTAAATGTTATCAAATCTAACACAAAGCTGCGTTGCATCAAGCCAGTGCAGACTATTACGTGTTTTTCCAAATACAGTACAAAACAAGACAGGGGAAAATGTTACGATAACAGAATGATGTAGTAATACCTTCAGGATATGTTGTATAAATGATGAATGAATTTGGTCAAGTGGGGAGTCTGAACAATGTAGGCATCCGTATATTCAGACTTACCCCTGAACTAAACTCTAAACTCTTCTTGAATTATATCTAAATTGAGTAATCTCATAGAAAATGGCAGTTATCAAATTCCTGATAGCACTAAACAATATCTAACCAAAAAATTCTTCAAGACTTTAATAACTTCTGTATTATATCCTATCAAAAGCCAGAAAATTTAAAATTCCAGCATACTAAATGAATTATTAACAAAATAAATTTAACAAAATACATTGTTTTACTTTAAATGTTTTGGTTTAGTCTATTTAATGCTGGAGATTTAGTTTTCATTGAGTGCCTCTCTTTTCTGAATTACACCATATCTGTTCTCCTGAAGCACAAACAAAGTCAATACAAAAAAAAATTACTTCAGAAGTTAATTACCAGCTCCAGTTATAAACCAGACTGAATTATTGCTTCTTTCCAGTGATTGACTGTGATGTTCATAATGGAGCTACAGTGACCCAAGCCTAATACTTGGGTACTAATACCCAAACTCATACCAAGTGACATGAGAAATGAGATCAGGGCTCAACTCTTTAGTGAGGAGGCAAAGCCAAGGCATAAGGAAGAAGCAGTGTTTGTGTGCTCACCATCAGCAGGTTTGAACTCCAAGAGTGTTGCCTCTTCAGATCCATCTTCTCTGCTCTCCTTGATGTTCTCCACTTCACACCAAAAGTCCTCCATGGAAGTGCTGTCCATGGAGGCCTGTGAATTGGAGCGACTGAATGCAGGAGGAGGTGCGGACTCGTTGGAAAGCATCCTGTTAATTCTTCGACAACGAGGGAGAGACTTTCTGAAGAGAGTGACACAAATAAAATTACCTTTCTATCTTGTTAACTTGTGCCATGCAGATGAAGCAGACAACTAGGGCTTCACCCATGACTATACCAGGGAGAAGGGAACAAGATTTCAGAGACCGAGTACACAGTTCTGGTGATTGTCATGACCTCTGTTGCTCATAAGAATTATGGTTGGACATTTATTTTGCATCTAATAATTTATGTATTTAATATTCTTTAGTGTTTATTACTAAAGAGGGATGCAGGAGATGAAATTTCTATTTCTAATACTGATATCCACCTAATGAGACACTGGAAAACTATGTTAATGTTTTTGTTCCCCAGTTTCTCTTTCTATCCCTTCTTGTTTTGCTGACTGGCTGAAATTTTTCAGTGAAAACTTCTCTGGGGAAAAATAATGAAACTTGGGAACCCTGAAATATTTTACAAACTTACACTGGCTCCAGAAAACAATTCAAAACTTGAAATGTTTTAATTCAGAGGAATCATTATCTTTTATTTGAAAATCCTTTTAAAAATATTCCTTTTTTTTTCCTTAAATTAAGCTAAAATAGAAAAAATTGTAACAAAATTTGTCTTTGAATTGAAATAGTATATTCTAGGTCAGACAAAAGGCTTTGATCACAGGTTCAAAAATTATGATTCACTTAAAATCAAGTTTCAAGCTACGATTCAATACAGTGATTAAATTAAAACAAAGTTTGTTCCTAACTCTTTTGTTCTGGCCTTTTCCCACTGTAAGTACTTGCAGCTGAAGACAGTTATATAAGTTCATTCAAAATTTTATACAACACCCACCATGAAAGTCTCGTCTGACTTTACTCTTTTGCATTATTGTGGCTGTAATACCGTAAACAGCTTTTGTAAGTATAATTGTAGTAGATACAGTAATCAGTAATAATAACCACAACAATATTTGTACAAAGGAGTTAGGAGGTAATGCAATTATGACAGAGAGCTAGACTACAGGAATTAATGGAAAGTTCTGTCATAAGGTCTTCTGGCCTTCACTTATCTGAATTAATTAAAATGCAGTTTCCCTTTCTCTTCCTTTTCTGTATGGCACGATTCTGCCAACACGCCTTTGTTTAAAAACACAGGCAACACTTTTACTCCACTAAAAAAAAAAAAGAGAGAGATTTCCTTTTCAGTGTTTCCCTCCATGTCAAAGTTTTGGTAATGGATGTATAAAGAATATGTTATTTAATAAAGCTGACTAAGCATGCTTTTTCCTCTTTGTGCTGCTGCCGCTGCTTCATCCTTCCTTGCCAGTGAAGGGCCAGCTGCTTTCCTGGGGCTCCTGGAGCCTCCTTGCTCTATCTGGGTGGTTCCTTCTGGACTAGGTCTGAGTCTCAGGTTGGAGAGATGTGGTAGAAACAACGGAGCACATCAAATCCAGCTTTGGACATGATCAGGCTTTATAAAAGTTAAAGCTCAGGCCTTTGCCTCTTTTTGAACACATGCAAGTGTAATATGGATGATTCAGCTGCCCAAACTGACCATGTGCTCTTGGAGAGATGCTGAGAAGCAAAGCTTTGTGATGGGTGACTGCACTGCAGCAGGAAAAAATGTGCTATGGAGCTGTGGAGACACGTACTCCAGTCAGAGAGAGAAGAGCTATCTTCAGTGTTTTTCTCCTTTTTTCCCCTCATAAACAGAAAATGATTGTTTACTTTAAAACACACTGCTGAAGCTGTTACTGTTTTAATTAGAACAAGCCACAGCCACCAAATCTAAGAGGAATTTGCGACACAACTGTGGTTAAAGCTATTTGAGTGTTTTCCACGTAGCTTTCCCTCTGGGGAGATGTGTTTCAGTTGGCTTTTGTTTGCAAAGCCTCAGATGACTGGGGTACCTTATTAATTATAATTACTGGGATTATGTATTCGGGATGTGTCACTCTCTGGTTTCTTATGGGTTTCTCTTTCTTTTACGGATTCAACTATCTCTTTTCCCTGCATCAACAAGCAAGAAAAAAAAGCATATCTCATGGAACCTAACTATCATGAGTTAATACTGTACCAAGCGTCCCCAAGCAGAGGTTTTAACCAGCAGAAGCACAACCCCTGAGAAGCAGCCAGAAAACCCCATCTCTTCAGCTGGGAGCTGGCAGGGGGATGGGGGAAACAGTTACCACTGGCCATTTGCTTTCTGCTGTGAAAAGCTGAGCTCTTTTGTTTAAAAGGTGATAGTGAACACAAATAAGGAAAAAGGCAAAACTTCCTGGCACTCTAATGGCGTTTGGGGCCCCTGTTCTCTGGACATTCTGAGAGCAGAGGAGACAGCCCAGCCCACTGCCTATCCTCCCGCTGCAGCCTGTCCCTCACCAGCCTCCGCTTGAGCTCGGGGCTCTGCCTGAAACCCACACACTGCTGCCCACTGAGAAATTCATGTCTCTACTTACTATAAACTGGTGTGATAAATAAGTTCCTACATGTGCTATATAGCACAGCCCAGAGCTCCCAAGCCAGCAACTGCAGTAAGGAACACTCTCACCAGTCTGGAATCAAACATGCGCTAGGAGGAGAAGAGAGCACCTCTGATAGCATCATTAGGTCCCATAATTTAGTCATGGTCAGAGAATTTTAACATTTCCTGCCCTTCCAGTGTGAATCTTGACCATGACCCTTGTGCTCTTCAGGAGCCACATGATACTGCTCCTTGGGCCTCGACTCCATCAGCACTTCAGCTGGCTCGAGCCAAGGCTTTTTATTTCACCATATTAGGAAGAAAGAGGCTTGGTGGGTTGCTGCTTTTCTCCCCACAGTGCGTATGCTTATTTTGTAATACTACCATACCAAAAAGCTAAATGCAAAACAGACCACGTAGCACAGCAACAACTGCTGTGGCAACCAGCTTTACCAAATACGTCTAAGGTTCCCGGGTAATTAATGTGCATTTACAACAATATTAAAGTACAAAGCCTATTTGGAAAATCAGCTGAACAAAGTCTCCTGAGAACTTCATCTATGAGGCTTGTTATCTCAACCTGGATTAAATCAAGCTGTGTAAAATTCCTGTAACGAGAAAGGTTAGGCAGAGGTGCTTTATCCTTATTGGTAAACATCTGAAACTTGCTTCCAGGTGGTCTGGTACAAACCTTCGTCAATTATTGTCAGTCTGCCTATTAAAAGCTCATCATGTGTTTGAAAAACTCCAGCTGCTGTTTTGACCCATATACCTGTGACTTTTGTCCTGCAGGAAGTGGTCTCCCCTTTATGTGATAATAGCAGTTGTCTCCCATTTCCTCCAGCCAAAGCCACTCAAAACAGTTTCAGGAAAAAAAAAGTCCTACTGAGGAAGCAAAGCATATTCTTCACTGCTTTTAATTAATTCTTGAAGGACACTAAATGAGCACTGACTCAGCAATCTGCCTGTCTCAGAAACAGTTCAAGAAGCCCAGGAGGCCTGTTACCTGGGAACTCTCACAGCAGAAAACCTCTGTTCCTGACGCCTTTTTCACCTTCAACTCATTCTGTCTCATTTGCTCTTTTTTCTCAGTGTCTGTACAGAAGGTTAGAACAATAAAAAGTTTTCACTAAGCTGATTCTGTTGTTCCTACAGAAAAGTTGAAAACCAGTCATGTAAAGTACGTAGCAATTACAAAGCTCATGCTCAGTTTCTTTTGTTCACACACATGGGTAGTGGTGAGCTAATCTGAAACACTGACTAAATTAAACACAGGAGGGATCTCAGATCCTGGCTTACTAGATGGAAAAAGCTGGGAGAGCAGCATGAATCTAAAAGCACTGAGCAACAGTTATAGCAACTCCACTGAATGAGCTGAAATTGTTTTCAGGGTGGAATAAAAAAAAAAAAAAAAAGGAGAAAGGGTTAAAGAGCGCCAGTAAGGAGAAATACGTTGATATCATTTAGAAAGCTTTCTGTGGAAAGCTTTTTGCAAGGAAGCAGGGTATTTCCATGGGCACAAGGAGACTGATTCAACAGTGTGTGACTGGTTTTGGTCTGGTGTATGTTTATAATTGTGATGAAATGCAACAGCAAAGCAGGCCTACTGACCCTATATTTTATCTTCCATATGTAGTACAGAAGTGTGCTGTTCTGGATCTGATACTACACATTGATTTCAGGATAGCCAAGCCAGATTCAATAAGCTATTCTTATCCTATGTCCGAAGTAAAAGTTTGTCAAACCACATGAAGAGCTGGCTCAGTGACACCTAATGATTTCTCACAGGCTCAGTAATGATAAAGCTAGGCTTGTGCTTTGAGTTTAATTAAGTAATAGATAGTAAAGAATCCATAAAACAAATGGGAGCAATAAAGCCATCTTGTAGTTAAAACCAGCACTTAGTCCTTGTTTATAGAGAGAGACAGGACATCTTACTCTTGAGGGCTGTTATACTTCATTTAATTTGGTGGGTCCTGAACCTGCTTCACCACAATTAGTCACATTTATAGGAATGGGGAAGATGAAGGAAGCAAATTCTCCCGGTCACTGTAGGACGAAGATCCACCTTTTCACATTGCAAGCGTTCTGTCAGTATAAACACTTGCTCAGCTCTTTCCAAATGTAAAAAAGAGGATGGTAGCTTGCACTGACAAGCAAAAAAACATTTATTCCTCTTTATTAAGAATTGTTCTGACTTGTTAGGAAGCAGTCATGTATCATTATTTATCTTCCTTTTAAATAAAATGTATACAAATTCCAGGCAAGGGAAGAGTTCAGCAATAGGAAATAGTATTTTTGTACACAGTTCACTACACAGTTCACCCTTGCCTCAAATCTCTCATCTTCTGATTCCTTCCTGGAGACCCTGCACTGTTTGCTGTCTGCTTATTTCCTTCTCTCCATGCTTGGTGGCTTCTGATCACAGAGAGGGATATACATCAGATAACATCTAACCCCCAACTCCATCTATACACTTCTGTTTCTGATTATCTTGAAATGTTAGGCAAGTTGTATACAGTGGATCCTAAAGCTTTCCAGTCCTTTCTCTAACATCTAGTATAGCAAACATTTAAACTATCAA